ATTCAGTGTTCCTTTTCTAGACAGTGCTCAAGTTACTCAGGATCCAGGAGAACACATGGCGAGGGGAACCTGGTGGCTCACATATAACTGATTCCCTAGTGTTCCCTGCAGCTGCTTCCATATACATAACCCTTGTGCATAGTGGGGAGAAGGGAGGGAATTCCTTCTGTGTGTGGGCCAGGGTTATGCCTAGAGTTTGTACCTTTTTGTTAACTGAAAACAGTGTTTAAAACCAACACAATGTTTCTTGAGTTAGTTTTTTATGAAAGCTACGCAGTTGGAGCAGATGAAGGAAGACTATTCATACATCATGGAAACCAAAACGAGAACACGTGATCAGGTGGAACAAGGAGAAGAGGTAGGGAAAACTTACAGTGGCCTGTAACTGCAATGTAGAGCTGATGAATGGCTGCAGTAGTTGTGCTGCAGCTCAAATTATTTTCTGACCAGGTCTTTCACATTTGTTGTGGCCTTGTAAATGAGACTGGGAGACCTACATAATCTACCAGTTTCCTGTTGTTGGGCTTAATGCTCACAATGAAAATGTGCCTTTCCCCCCTCTTTTTAAAATAAAGTTACAATTAAACTCTTTTCAACTATTTTATCAATAAACCATTTCTTATTGAAGTAGTTTTATTTCTTGTAAAGTGTTGTATGGTTAACATCTTATCAAGACACTGAGCTGGCAAGATAATTTTGTTGCTAGGAAATATTCAGAAATTATCCTAATACTAATATAACTGCCCTCTCCACTTATCAGTACATATTTCCTTTTTAAAAGTTTCTTGAAGAGCTTAGGAAACAGTATTCGGAGAAAGGAGAACGTTATAAAAATATGGCTAACGTGAGTCAAATGGAAAATAGGCTGAAGGAGCTGGGGCATCAGATCGCTTGGGCAATGGTAATTGGATGTTCTATTATCTTTTACTTAATATAATGGAAGGTCAGTACAGTGATCATAGTAGCAGTATAATTCTTATACTTTATAGGTGAGAGAAAGAGAAAGTGAAATAAAACCAATCACAGACAGAATTGGCGTTCAGGATGCAAGCACTGAAAAATTTGTTCAGAAAGTGGAAGAATGGCAGGTATACATTTGTTTCCAATATGGCCTGTATATTTTTGCACTGTGTATTTTTGCACTGTCCTTTTAACTTAATTTTTAATTAATTTTCAAAGTCGATTTATATTTCTTTTTTACCGTGCATTCCAAAATGTCAGGTGCTGATGATGGCTCTAAGGCCAGAACATCCACCAGATTGTTTGCTGGTCTGTTTGTCTATCTGATTACTATCTAAAACTCTACAGAATAGGTTATTAAAATCCAGAATAATCAGCTGCCTTGAAAGAAAGTCAGTTTGACTTTTTATGGCACTTGTGTGTTTTTTAGGTTAAAGTAAATGAAGCGGAACGAAAGCATAAAGGTATGCAAGAAAATCTTGACAAGATCTTGGAAGAAGCTGAGACATTACAGCCAACATGTGCTACTTTGAAAACGGACGTGCAGAAAAAAAGAAAAGCATACAATGATACTGAGGTCTGTGGATGGACAGTCTTCTAAATGTGAAGTGCTGAGAGCAGTTATACTATGTGTATGTTGACTTAGACTGGATCTTGCATTCTATATGGAGATTCTTTGAAGTCAGTGTGTAAATTCATTCACAACATGGTGTGTATAGCCTGATTGAGAGAGATATGAATAGTAAAACTAAACCATAATCGACTGCCAGCTGTAATTTCAGCTGTAATGAAGCTGCTACAAATCTCTCCCCATGCCCATTAAAATAAATACAGGACATCAACCTTTGTGCCAGTACAGGTCCACTTTTTAAATATCTGTGTTAGTCTTGTCTTTTAAGATTACTCCAATCTGTTGACAATATGTGCCTGCTTTTGTCATTCAGGCTGCATATAATAGGTGCCAGGCTGAAATGAAACGCTTGATAAGAGACCATGAGCAACTCTGCAAACGAATTGAAGAACTAAAAAGCAGGTACTGTTTTCTGTCTAAATAGCTGACTCATACTAATGCTTTATAAGGAAGCTCTTGTATTTTGTTCAAAGCTTCGTTGAAGTAAGGATGCATATTCCTGCATCATCAGGAATGAGCCCACACAGGAAAACAGGCAAAAGAATTGAATGTTTGAACCTTTTATTTTGGCTTACTGCAGCAAGGGATGTGTTTGTGTGTTGGTTCAGATGGTCAAAATTGGGACTTTTCCACTTGGGGTTTTTTCATTGTTTCTTGACCCATACTGCTTGATTTATCCTCTGATTTCCACACGCATTTTAGTTTTCACATTGGGTTTTTAGCACACTGATTTTGAGTAGGCTTTTTCCTAGTGTGTAATGTTTCTATTAGTTTATCCTGCCCACTTCCACTCACCTACAGCCCACTTTCAATGATTGGACTGCTGTCATTTTTAAACCACTCCTCTTCCCCCACAAGACAGTGATCTCAATTTTTTAAATAAGGACCTAAAATATTGATATAATATTGTGGTGCTATAATGATAGTTGAAGCAGAGTCTCTGAATTCCCAGCTTTCATTTAAAAAAAGTAAGCTTCTATTGTCCTCCCTCATGGAGATATAAGGAAAAGGCCATGTCTTGGTAAGGGACGTGGGTAGAGACTTACTTTTTAAAAAAAAGAAAGACAGTTGGAAATTAAGAGAACCTGCTTAACCTATCTTTACAGCACTACAGTGTTATAGCAATATTTTCAAGCTGTTCTTTTTAAAATTAAGAGGGTGCTTTGATGCCACCAGTAATAACATGGATGATGATAGCACCCTCCCTTGAAAACCTTTATTTAAGCCACATGAAGAAGAAAATAAACTGAGTGTACAACTGTAAAAATGCACAGGGAGGGCAAGTGTGTGGAAGAACCTGGCTAAACCAATTCCAGTGCTGGTGGATCGATTTCCATGAAAATCAAAAGTAACCCTGGTGTGTGGAAAAGGTCCTATATATTGGAAGTGAAGAATGGCTTAGCTCTAAGATTTCAGCTCTACATAAGCAGGCTACACATGTTGGATCTGGTCAAGCCTGTTGTCATTGAGGGCTGGTATGATGTGTCAGGATAAGGCACCTACCACCTTACTATATTTATACAAAATGTGCAACAACAGTTTATTCTGATGCTTTGTCAAAAGTCAGATTACTAAGATAATTGAGTCAGGGTGTTGAAGATAAAATTATTGTTCTGCAAATTCTGTTATCTTGTAGTAGAATATCAGATGGATATGTTTGAAAACATTTCAATTTTAAATTTAAATGTTATATAAGGTAATAACTTTGTCATTTTGTGTCCAGTTATGTTATTTTAGATCCATTAAATGTAGTGTATAACCTGTCATGACCTTTTAACCTTTCCTGTCCTTGCTGGGAGGGTTTTACTTTAACCTCTCATGCATATGGGAGTTGTTCCCAATGTTTAGCACTGTAAACTTTCCCCCCATCAAATCAAGCTGCATGTCCCAAAATCTTTATGGCCCAACTCGGGAATCGGGATACCTCAATAGTTGTCTAGCTTGCCCTTTCTTGGCAAGTCATCTGCATCCAACAGATGCCAATGGTCATCTGAATCCTGTGTATTTGTCTCCATAAAGGAAACCCATCTCCTCTCATTTATGGCTGTTCTCCCAGGAAAGAATGTTTTCTCTGAGATCAGGGGCTCCTTGTGTGTTAATAAAGGCATCTTGCATTTCTCTATCATAAAACTGTGTTCCTAGAAACCACCCAAAAGGAAGACTGTAGGAAGTGCTGTAGAGATAAACCAAACCTTTTCCAAATTTCTTCTTGAGTAAAATAATGTATGTAATGTTACAGTGCTCACCAGATGTCGGCGCCTGAAGAGTTGGAAAGACAAAGAAAAACTGAGCAATTGAAAGAGAAGTTGAAGTCATTTCGTGATCAAGATGAATTACTTAGTCAAGAAATGGACCGGTATCAGCGTGATGTGCATACATACAGAGAAGAGTTAGCTGGACTTGAGTAAGGACAACCAATGCCGTTGTGACTGATTCCCAAATTTGCATATTGGATTTTTAATTCTTGAGCTTTGGTCAACATGTTACCCCCCAGCCCCAAAAGTAACTCCCGTGTCTTGCCCTCTGGGATATTCTCCAGTAGCATAAAAGATGTGTGTGGGGAAAATCTTTGCCTGGGGTGGTATGGGAAGGAGGCAGATGGCATTTAGATTATTAGCTGTTATTTCTACAAGGGTAGAATATACCCCTCTTGACAAATAAGTAGAGTTTTTAAAAGCAGGGCCAGTAAAAGTACTGACACAAGAGAAGTGGGGGGCTAGGTACCAACTCAAAGGGTATTTTGTCAGTCATGGCCAGTCCATGGTTATGTGTACCAAAGTCTGCTAAGGCAGTTCTATCTGACATAGTTAATTAGAGATTGTGTGAGAAAGCTGACCTACAGTCTTGTAGAAACAGTGCAAATGCTAGAATAATGCATAACATTTTAGTTGTTTGTTTTCTTATTTAGGAAGGAAGAACGTGAACTGATGGCAGCCTTGAGTTTTCAGCAAAAACAGCTGAGAGACTTGAAGGAGAGTAAGACCAACAGGCTGAAAAGATTTGGGCAACATATGCCAGTCCTTTGTGAGGCAATTGAAAGGGCTTGTCAGCAGGGGAAGTTTAAATACAAACCAATCGGACCCCTAGGTAATCTGTTAAAGTCTTCATTGTAAACAAATTGCGAACATTTTGTTCACTTGGATTAGGAGTGTTGCATTGCAGCCCTAAAATGTCTCGGACTAAATCAGAAATAGCAAATATAGGTTTGGCTTTGACGTGTGCATGTGTATTTCTTAGTCTGCTGCTCAGGAGCATCTAAATTATGCTGTTTTGGTCCTGATGCAACTAGTGTTCTTGACTCAGTAGAGGCCTCTTAGATTAGAAGGGGAAAAAACCCTAATGCAAGTTTATATAGACTGAGGAAAAGGTACTCTTCAAGTACCACCTCTGAAGAAGCGTGCACGCACACAAAAGCTTATACCTGGAATAAAATGTTGTTGGTCTTCTTAGAGGTGCCATGGGTCTGTCTGTCTGTCTGTTTCTTTCTCTCTCTCTTTCCCTCTCCCCCAAAGGAGGAGGAGGAGCCCTCAGCCAATCGAGAGAAAGGAGGCTTGGCTTTCTTTCTCTCCTCTGGAAGCAGGAAGCTGGAGAGGAGTGAGCTGGGCAAAAGCAAGGTGCAGTGTAGGAAGCAGGAACAGGAAGCATGCTGGATAGGAGCTCTGCAGGGGCCAGTTGAAAGGGCTGTGCTCATGGGCTGGATAGGAGCCCTGCAGGGACCAGTTCTGGTCCGCGGACCATATGTTTGACACCCCTGATCTACAGGCTAGCATTACTGGCAGAGGAAAACAATTCGGAAATTCCTTAGGCACACAGGATTCCATACATTTTCAGGATGAGGAGGCTGATTTCCTGGTCACCCCCCTTTCCCCTCTTGACCCGAATCTCATCTGTGCTCTACATTTTGTGTTTACTTGAGCCTATGCAGGCCTCATCCAGCCACCTCAGGGGAACTGACCTATTTCTTTTGGGCAATTTACAAAATCATATTTTTCTGCAAACTTAAAGGGTTTGCTGAGTATGTAGAGACCCTACTTTGATTAAATTATACTTCTTTCAGATGGCCATGCTCTTTGCTGTTGAATATAGTGAATCGTGAAATGCTGACAATCATTGTGTACAGTGCTGAGACTTTATTCTTACATTTAGGTGCTTTTATTCATCTGAAAGATGCTGAACTTGCTCTGGCTGTTGAGGCGTGTTTGAAAGGCTTGGTTTGGGCATTTTGCTGTGATAATCATAGCGATGAAAGAATATTACAGACATTGATGTCAGAGTTCTGTCCACCTGGCTCTCGACCTCAAATCATTGTTAGTACTTTTCGGAATAATATTTATGATGTAAGGCAAAAGTAAGTATGTGCTGACATTTGGTATACAACTTAATTTGTATATGTCTTTGATTAGTATACAGTAGTCTAGTACTGTAATAGGGGACTGAGTGCATTTTTTTTCAAATATATAGGTTTTTTTAAAAAAACAATCATTTGATAAATAATCTATAGGCTACTTTGAGATTCTGTAAATCATACTGATGGGCTTTGATCCTGCTCAGAGCAGTGATTCAAAACTCTCTGCATCTAACTTTAGGCATGAAATGTCCTCCCCTTAGAAACACAACCAGGCCAATGTCGACAAGATTCTGGGTGCTGTTAGGCCAACCACCTGCCTCTTAGACCCGTGTCCCTCATGGCTGGTGAAAGCCAGCGGTGTGGGAATACAGGGCCTCCTGGTGGACATTATCAACCTGTCCCTCGATTTGGGGGGGTCTACCCAGAAGGTATAAAGGAGGCAGTGGTAACACTGCTCTTAAAAAAGCCATCTGAGAAAAGATTGATAAAAGATGCTACAAGATGACCAATACTTGCATCCCATCTTGCTGCGCCATTCAGTATGGCGGGAGGTCAGTCAGTACCTTACTTCTGAGCATCCTTAGTCTGTACCATGCTATGCTCCATATGGGACTTATACTGTGCAACAGCCTTCAAATGGCCAGTCTGTTGTCCAAAAGGCTATGCAGCTGAACTCATTCCAAGGGAGACCAGCAGCAACAGACTATACTTCCTCCAACCAGGATTTAAATGGAGTTGGTAGTTGGCAGAAAAGGGCAGGCTTTTGACCTGTCAGTCCCAGAAGGGCATTTAACAAGCAAAGTGCCTCCACTGAAAAAGCCCTGTCTCTAGTTGAAAGGGTACAGAGAGCAGGGTCTGTGGGCTGGACAGTACAGGAGGAGGCAGTCCTTCATGTACCCTGGCCCTAAGCTGTTTAGGGCCTTAAAAGTAGGAACCAGCTCTTTGAATCTTGTCTGGAAACAAATAGGCCGCCAGTGCAGATCTTTCAGCACATGAGTTATTCCACATTTTGAACCAGCTGAGGTTTCCAGAGTGTTTTCAAAGGCAGCTCCACATAATGTGCATTACAGTAACCTAACATGTGATCACAGTATGGATCACTGTGCCTAGGTCACAATTTTTAAGAAATGGCTGTAACTGGAAGATGATAAAAGGTTCTACATGCCATGGAGAAGACCAGAGCCTCCAACCATAAACCATGATTCAGCAGTGCTCTCAAGCGACAAACCTGCTTTTTTATAGTACTGGGTTGTAATTTGACTTCTGGAGATGACTTCATCAGATAGGTGACTTCCTTCTGGTTACTTCAAGTTTTTGATGAAGGTGGGAGTTAATTGTCATCAGGGCCGTAGCCAATGGGGGGCGCAGCAGGCGGTGCCCCATATCACATCAGGGGCACCCCTATCGCAACCCCCCCCCCACCCCGGTCTAGTTTAAAATTAAGTTTATCATGCCAACCCAAAGCATGATTACCTTTAAAAAAAAAAAAAACCGAACCGTACAGGATAAGTGGTCTTTTTTTGGGGGGGGGGGTTCGCCCCTGCTCTCTGCTTGTTCTACACTTTAGGGAGATTGAAAGTGAAGGACGTACAGGATCAGAAATCAAGGAGCTCTGACTCCAAAGCTTCCTCCCTTCCAGCCCTCCTCCCTTCCTTCCTCAGCAAGCAGGCAGGGCATAACGGCACGCCTTGGTGGCTGAGGAGGCGCTCACTGCTGGCGTCATGTGGAGGGGAGGAAGAACTTCAGCCGTACCAGCCTAAAGCCGGCAGGGTAAGAAGCTACAGCTTACAGCAGCTGCTAGGGGCTGCTACTACTCTTTTAATTTAAATTTAATTACCACCCCGTGGTGTGCCGGCACCCCCACTGAAACATTTCCTGGCTACAGCTCTGATTGGCATACAGTGATATAAACTTTGGTAATCTCTACAATGCAGCACATAAACGCTGCTGCATTTTTGGAAATTGTCATCTTTGAGTTCACTACTATAAGTTAATACTTGATCTTACAAATATAATAATTTTGATATTCTGAGAATGTATCTGAAATGTTCTGTAACGGTGTCTTCTCTCTTGTAATTTCAGGTGTACTTTCACTGATTAACAAATGATCACTTCTGCTTTAGCTCTTCTTTTTTGTTGTTGTAGAGCAGTTGATCATCCTGACTACCCTTCAGTGTTGACAGCACTAGAGTTTGATAATGCTGTGGTTGCCAACTGTTTGATTGACATGCGGGGTATAGAAACAATCCTTCTAATCAAAGTAAGATTTAACTCCTGCAGTTCTAATACATGCAAAAAATTAGTGTTTCTGGCAGCAAGACTTTAAAAATGTTAGACCAATTACTAGACAATATTGCTTTATTACCAGTAGCAGACAACAGATTTGCAACATCAGATGTTTGTCAGCTTGACATATTGGTTTTGTTGTAAGCAACATGCTTGATAGCCTCTATGTATTAGAGTAAGGCAGAGACTGAAGTCTGATTTTATTGGTGAGCAAGATTCCCTGTCTGTAGTAATCCCACTTGCTGTCTTTGTGAAAACCAAATATAACCACAATTTCAAGAGAGAGAAAATTCTGCCTGCAATTGGGTTCTTCCAGAAAGATGGATGTAGACCTACAGGAGAATATTGCAATGTGGCCATCTTCTCTCATCAGGATGTTTTCAGGTGCAGTCGCCCAGGGCATGAGAGGAAGGGCCTTAAGCCTCACTAATTTAATTATAGAGGATAAATTCCTATTTTAATCTCTTTTTTCCCTATCTGTGCTAAGTACTACACTACCAGAAAAGATACTATTGTTTAGTTTGTTTCTTTGTTTTACTCCTTAGAATAATGTGAAAGCTCGTGAACTAATGGTGATGCAAAGGCCTCCGAAAAATTGTAGAGAAGCTTTCACTGCTGATGGGGATCAGGTGTTTTACAATCGCTATTATTCTTCTGATTATACCAGGCCCAGGTTCCTCAGTAGAGATGTAGAAGCAGATATAAGGTTAGTGTCAAGTACTTATTAGCATTCTCTCTGAAATGGTCCAGAATTCTTTTGACTGGTTCAGTTCAATTCTTCTCTGGGGTCTTTGTGCATTCAGATATATAGGATTGCTTGAGCCTGCACAACGTATTGGTTGGAGTTTTCTAGAGTAGTTCGCATTGGGCCTCTGTTGTTCATTGACCACTGCAACAGACACATCACAAAGAATTTTCTTTGTAAAAATAAACAAGCTAGGCCTCTTATTCTAGCCTTCTTTCTTTTTGTCTCAATCTTTCTACCCTATCATCTCCGGATTGTGTGTTTTTGTCGTTTCATGCCTTATTGCTGTCTGTGTGACTTCCAAGTATTACTCTAGGTGTTGGGGAAAACTACCCAGCAGTGATGGACATGATCATTGCCTCCTCGGTCAGGAGAAAGAACACAGGACTTGTGTCTCCATTTCCAGAGGTCCATAAAGCAGGTGCACTGAAGCAGCTCCTCATGTCTGAGGACGCTCAGGTCACATCAGCCATGGTTTATGAGGCTTCTACAGTTAGTTGTGGGAAGATCTGAATACCTGACCAGCTATATACTTTCTTAGGATGTACTATCCTATATTGAAAGGCTCTGCCTCACATCATAGAGAATAAATTTCCACAACAGTCAGACTTGGGCCCTTCACAATGTTAGGAAGCCATTCATACGGTGCTCATACTCTGCTTAAGTGGCTTTTGCAGATTTGCTGCTTCCAAGAACTGGGGCCATATATATTGCTTGATTTTGGTAGTCTTAAAATATCTTCTACACTTACACTTTCAAGGTCCAGCTGCCTCCTCCCTAAGAAATTACTTAGCAGTATTATCCCCAGACTACCTACTTATAGGGAACTGTGAGCTTATGCAGACACCAATAAAATAGTTTTTTAGCTAACTGATCTGTCTGCTGTCATCATATCCTATATACCTCATTCATGTAATCTATGTACCCAGCCACTGGCCAGATGCTACCTGATATTTTTGACAGTTAAGATGGCTTTTCTTGTAACTGTTTGCTTCCACAAGAAGAGGAAGTGAATTTTGTGTACTCCATTCTGACCAACCTTATTATTTCAGGGAGATTAAGTAGTACTTCAACCAGATATCACATTTCTCCCAAAGGGTAGTCTCTTCTTTCCACTGTAGTTAATATATTGCCTGTGGTCTTTCCAACTCCACTTTGTCAATATTACGCGGTGTCGGCCCACAGCAGACCAAACATGGGTGCAATGGTATCCAATAAAGACTGGAGTCTCTCAGGCTTATGTACAAATAATATACAGTTTATTATACAAGCCTCTCACCAAATCTTTACACAGAGTGACGTAATGCTCCGCTGCGCTCGCATTCCAAGAAGGAATGAACAGTTCTGTACAGCACTGAATATATACAACCACTGGCCAATCACAGCCAGTGCTGAGTCACTGTGACTCAGTGCTAATTAGGTCTAGCAGTAGCCAGCTAGAACCAGTCAGAGCCAGCTCTTATGACACTTAGAGCTGTCAGCTCCTGTCAGTTAGATGCCTCAGATCTACAGCATGACTTAACATACACAGAATACTGATACACTTTAGATACCTTTAGGACATGTGCAGGTCCTTTGCCTTCCGTTTAGGTTCTCAGACAAGAACCAAACCTTTTCCTATATTACAAGTGTCCTTGTAAGGAACCTGCGGTCTCTTCCCAGCATCTTAGGCATTGTATTTCTACAACCATCACACTGTGTTACCAGATAAGACACTTGCCATGTCATGTAATGACAGAGCACATGGTCCCAGCCTTCATGAAGGTGAAGAAAATGTTGCATTTGGAAGAGAGGTGCTTAAAAGCCTATTTGTTTGATGGCATAACTTGATCTGTTCCCAACCTAGGTAAGTCAGCGAACTGGTCTTCCTTTACATGGGAATGCACAGACACCATGAAGAAGAATAAGTGCTTACCTGAAACAGATGTTCTTTGAGTGGTCTTCTGAGTAGTCACACAACACACACACACCAGTAACTTGCCTGCATAGTTCTGGGAAGAACTGAGTAGGACATTGAGCCCTGCCCACTTGAGGCATTCACATTGGTATCTGCAGCATTGGTGTGGGCACATCTACTGCCAAAATTGCTTTCAGCATAGCTTCAGAAAATTCCGTCTGATGCTGTGTGCAGGATCAAAGATTCCTGTATGCATCACTGCACAGATGACCACCCAAAGAGCATCTGTTCCAGGTAAGCAGTCTGTTCTTCTGTTCCTGAATTGCTGTTTGGTCATGGGAGATTTCAGTTACCCAGATATTGGTTGGAAATCCACTCAAAATGAAAGGTCAAATAAATTCCTGACTTGTCTTGCTGACAGCTTCATTTTCCAGAATGTGGAGAAGGAAATAAGGGGATCTGCTTCTTTGGCTTGATTCTCACCAACAGGAAAGAAGTAGTTGACAAGGTGAAAGTAGTGAGCACCCTGGGTAGTAGTGACCATGTAATTTTGGAATTAACAGTCCTGGATATGGGAAAAGCTGTACATATACGTTGGACTTCAGGAAAGCAAATTTTAACAAATGTAAAGTTATGCTGGGTAGAATCCCATGGTCAGAAATACTTAAGGAGAAGGGAGTTCAAGAGGAGTGAGAGTTTCCTAAAATCGAAATATTGAAGGCACAATCACAAACCATTCCTATGAGAAGGAAAAATGGGAGGAACCTAAAGAAGTCATGGTGACTCCAAAAACAGCTTTCTAAAGATTTGAGTAATAAAAAAGACTCATTTAGGAAATAGAAGCAGGGCCCTATAACCAAGGATGAATATAAACAAATTACCAGTGCTTGTAGGGAGAGTGTTAATAAAGTGAAAGCTCAGTATGATGCTAAAAACAACAAAAAAGTGTTCTTTTGTTATGTTCAAAGTGAGAAAAAGAGCAAGGACATGGTAGGCCCATTGCGGAGACAAGAAAGTAAAATTGTAACAGGTGATGGAAGAGAGGGCAGAACTGCTTATTTTCTACTTTTCCTCAGTCTTCTCTTGTGATGCAAACGGTGCTCAACATAGCAAAAACAGAACACATCGTGAGGGAAGGAAGCTGCAGCATAGGATTGGCATCAGGGTAGTACATAAACACCTAGTTTCTTTAAATGAAACTAAGTCCTCAGGGCCAGATGAATTGCATCCAAGGGTACTAAAAAAACTTGTGGATGTAAATTCCAAGCCTCTGTCCATTATTTTTGAGAATTCTTGGAGAACAGGTGAGGTGCCAGAAGATTGGAGGCGGGCAGATGTTGTCCCCATCCTCAAGAAAGGGGGAAAGGAGGATCCGGGTAACTACCAATCCTTCAGCTTGACATCTATACCTGGGAAAGTTTTAGAACAAATAAACAGTCCTTGAGCTGTAATTACTAAGAGCTAGCATTGGTTTCTCAAGAACAAGTCATATCAGACTAACCTTATCTCTTTTTTTGAGAAAGTTACTACCTTGCTGGATCAGGGGAATGCTGTAGACATAGTTTATCTTGCTTTTAGTAAAGCTTTTGATAAGGTTCCACATAATATACTTGTTGACAAATTGGAAAAATGTGGTTTGAATCCTATGACTGTTAGATGGATCTGTAACTGGTTGACAGATCATACCCAAAGAGTGCTTGTGAATGGTTCCACATCTTCTTGGAGAGGAGTGACAAGTGGAGTGCCTCAAGGATCTGTTCTGGGACCTGTTTTGTTCAACATCTTTATAAATGGTTTGGATGAAGGGATAAAGGGAATGCTTATTAAATTTGCAGATGATACTAAATTGGGAGGAGTAACAAATATGGTAGATGACAGAGTCAGGATACAGGATAATCTTGACAAGCTGGAAAACTGAGCTAAAAGAAATTTAATGAATTTAAACAGGGATAAATGTAAAGTTCTGCATTTAGGTAGGAAAAATCAAATGCATAATTATAGGTTGGGGAAGACTTGTCTTGGATCTAGGGGTCTTAGTAGACCATGCACTGAACATGAGTCAGCAGTGTGATGTGATAGCTAAAAAGGCAAATGCGATTTTGGACTGTATCAACAGAAGTATAGTGTCCAGATCACGAGATGGTATCACTTTGTTCTGGTTTGAGCTCACCTAGAGTATTGTGTTCAGTTTTGGGTACTACAATTTAAGAAGGATAAAGACAAGCTGGAACATGTCCAGAGGAGGGCAGTGAAGATGGTGAGGAGTCTGGAGACCAAGTCTTATGAGGAAAGGTTGAAGGAGCTGGGTATTTTTAGCCTGGAGAGGAGACGACTGAGAGGTGATATGATAACTATCTTCAAGTACTTGAAAGACTATCATAGAGAGGATGGTACGGAGTTGTTTTTTGTTGCCCCAGAAGATCAGACCAGAACCAACGGGTTGAAACTAAATCAAAAGAGTTTTCGGCTAAACATTAGGAAAAACTTCCTGACAGAAGTGGAACAGGCTTCCTCAGGAGGTTGGTGGGCTCTCTTTCCTTGGAGGTTTTTAAAGAAAGGTTAGATGGCCACCTGAAAGCAGTGCTGATTCTATAAACTTAGGCAGATCATGAGAGGGAGGGCAGGAAGGGTTGCCTCAGTGCTTAGTTCTCGTGGCTCTTTCTTACATGCCCAGGGAAATGCTGATTGCCACTTTGGAGTCAGGAAGCAATTTTCTCCAGGCCAGCTTGGCCAGGGATCCTGGAGGTTTTTTTTTTTTTTTGTCATCTTCTTGGCATGGAGCAGGGGTCACTGGGGTGTGTGGAGGGTAGTTGCCAATTTCCTGCCTTGGGCAGGGGGTTGGACTAGATGACCTGAAGGTCCCCTCCAACTCTATGATTCTATGACCTGTTTTTGCTTTGTTTCTTTTAAGTCACTTGGAGAAAGAAGTTGAATTAAAAAAAGGTCAGCTTTCTTCTTGTCAACAACGAATATGTTCTATTAAGGATGAGATAAGAACAAATCAACACCACCTTAATAGTCACCAACAGCATCAAAAACAAATACAGGTAAGACATGTTTAGGAAGAAACTGTTGTATTAGAAAATAATTGCAATTGGCCTGTTGTATGTTGCATAATACAGCATCTTTAAAATAGTTTTGTTTTTCTTCTGGATTCTATGAGTTTTAAAAGTTTTCACATGTCCTATTTTGAGAGAGAGTTAATGGGGCATGATGCTTGCTTAAAGGGAGGATGGAAACACTTTTGTACATCTGGGCCCATAAATAGTTCTCCAGATTTCTTCAGGTGTTCTCATGACCCTTTTGCTGCCCAATCTTATGCATGTTAATTCAGAAGTAAGTCCTCATGAATTCAGTGAGGCTTACATCCAGGGAAGTATGCATTGCACCCTAAGAAAGGTACAAATAGGTTTCCAAGTTCCTGACTGTGTTGGGTCCATCTACCTCCAACTAGAGATAAAGTGGAAGGAAAAGAAGAATAAATAGGATTGAGAAGAAATTACATGTGGTATTTTGAGAAACTGGGCCAGGATCAAAGATGGGGGGAGCAACATAGGTAAAGTATGCCAGTTTGATTTCCTGCATGAAAGATCAGTTTATACTGAGCGATACTTTCATAATGATTATACGGTAAAAGCTTGGTTAACTGGCACTCAGACCTGCCCAAGTCTCTCATGCATCACCTGCTTGGCACTGCTGCCCTCTCAGCACCTCTGGGCTAGGGCCATAGCAGTCACATGAGTGCATGACATGACCAGTGTGCCTGTAAGTTGACTGACTTGTGCCTGTGAGTCATTCGGTCAGCATGTGCCTGTGAGTCATTCGGTCAGCATGTGCCTGTGAGTTAATCGGCCAGCGCAAGCCTGTGAGTGAATCATGTGGGGAGGTGGCAAGAGTGCAGCAGCATTGGAGTGGGCTGCAGGTACCAACCAAGTCAATGTTGCTGCTCTCTTGCCACAACGTAAAAACTTTTTTAACCAGCATATTTGGTTAACCGGCAACCTCCCATTCCTATGTATGCTGGTTAACAAATCTTATCCTATGCTATCTTTGTTTTAGTGTATGGGACCCCCTATTTTTGAACAGTGTTTCAGTATTTTCAATTCTTACTTTTTATTCTTGGAAACACCCTACCTTAGACCTGTTCTGCCTTGGACCTGTTCTGTATTTCTCAACTGTGTTTTATTCTTCTTTTATGTTCTTATAATTTACATTTTATGAAACTCAGATTACATAAATACTCTTGCAAAATGTATTTGCAAATTATTAATGCTAAATTTAAGCTTGTTGCTTCATTTAGTTTGCAGATAGGATAAACAAGATTTTTTTGGTGTGTGGATTTTTGGCACATCTAAGTTTTCAAGTCTTGGAGACCACAGAACAGCCATGAAAGCTCCTGTTGCCGCTTCTTTCCCCCCCCCCTTTTTTTGAAACCCCCTCCTGTTGCTGCTTCTGTGTTTTAATTGCATATTTTTGTTCACCTCCTAAAATGGGCAAATTTTGATGTGAAAATTGAAAAGCTCACTGACTCAGTCCTTCTGTAATCCTCATAAATCCTTGACCCTGCTAAGATGGAAAGTTTAGCCTTGATGTTTACTCCATGATACTGTTACCACAAGTGGCCTGTTTCATTGTTGGGGGAGGCCAGAAGGGTACAGGGGATCACACACCTATATCTACCAAGGTCCAGTTTGGTAGGAAGACTCCAGATTTAAAGAGTGTTAACAGTTTTATTAAAGGATTTCCCTGATTACAATCACACTAAGGCAATCAAAAATAAAGTAAGCATGCAATCAAGAACTAAGAAATAAAGAGGTGATGAAAGAGACATTCAGGAGCAGTTACAGGGGTTATACTACCTGTCCAGATGTGCAGACGTCCGTGAAGAAGATAGCACAAACGGCCAGCGTTCCACACTAAGGAGAAGGAAGCCCAAAGAAGAGACTTTGGGGGTGTACTCAGTAACAGGTACCTCAGAGTGCACACTCAGGTGGGGCTTGGACTCTATCTTTGTAGGACTTTGAGGGGCGGTCCCCCAAGCCAGTTCTTAATGACTGTTAATGACTGTTAATGAGACTACAGGGTAGGTTGAATGGGTTCCCAGGCTTAGGCAAAAGGGGGAAATGGCTCTCTGTTTGGTGTCAGGAAGGATTAATGATTTAATCATTTTGATCAAACTGCCTCTGCATCCTGAGGGAGGGGGCGGGAAGGACAGGGGTGGAGACAAAGGATTTCCACATGGACATAGGTATCACAAAAAGGGGATCACACAGGTATATGGAGACAGAGAAAGGTTCGCCAGGTGTCTTCTGAATGGCTTTGAAAATGTAGATACTTTACCTTAAGAAACTCATTGTTATTCTATATGCAAACCTCCACTGCGTGGAGGGGCGATTGGAGATTTCCTTGGAGGTCTGCCTTGTGCAACCTGAAATTAGAACCCTATTTGCAGAGCTTTGGCTAACTCTGTGGCCCAGGTCAAGACAGCCCTCTTTGGCCTGGCTTTTTGGTTCTCTGGTTCAGGTCAGGAGTGGGGTGCCCTGCTTATTGGGGCTACCTGCGAGTGAGGCAGCACGTCTGGGCTACAATTCTTGCATCTGAACAGAGATTACACAGTAGAATAATTAAATATGACTATTACTAATCCATCAAGTACACATCTCTATTTATTTAAAACATTTTATTCTGCATTCAGAGCCAAATAGTTGTTAAGGCCATTTACAGTCTGGAATAAAATACCATAAAATTCTAGAAAATATAGCATATATCCCTGCACTATATATAAATCAGATGATAATACCCAGTGGAACAAGATAAGAGCATTAAATAATTCAGCAGCAGTAATATACAGTCTAGAAAGTATTTAACTCAGTACTTAAAACTCATTAAAGGATGCAATGGCCTCCCTGAAATATGTCATGCCCCACCAGAAGAAAACAAATTTGGCATTTCCAGCATATATTTCCCTTTTTAAAAAATGTCTCTTGCCCTTTTTATTGTAGTGATATAAGGGAAAATATGCAAGCAGTTTTTGTCCAGATTTCCTGGGAAGGAATAGGGAAAGTGAAGATGCAAGATGGCTGGAGCTGATTCAGCTAACCCTTTCATAGCCAATTTTGTTTTCTTCTGCAATCTTTTTGCCATGAGCTCTTTGCTTCTTTCTTGTTTTTTCCTGTCTTAGTGACCAGGAAGCAGAACACTGGGCAAGAAACTGGAATTAGAATTATTCCAAGGTTGCCTCCTGTGTTTGCAGTGGGAAATTTGCTTCAGGAGTATATGGAGCTATGCAGTGGGGACAGAAACATGAAGATCCTGTTTCACTGAGCTTTCTTTGTTTCTCTCTCTCTCTCTTTCTTTCCACCTCTTTCCTTCTTTCTTTTCACCTCTCTCTCTCTTTCTCTCTCAGATAAATAAATATCATTAGCAAACAAATAAATATAATTGGACAAATAAATATCATTATCAATATCTGTTTTTACCCCTTTTGTTTTTATTTTTGGCAGTCTCGTTTAATGTTAATAAAAAGCAAATGTGCATATTTTAAAAATAAAATGTATGTAACCTGTGAGGAGGACCTACGAAGGCCGGGAGCGGTGGCTGGGAAGGTTGGCAGCCCTGCCCTCTGCTTCCTGTTCTCAGAGGCAGCCCTGCCCTCTGCTTCCTGCTCTCAGAGGCAGCCCTGCCCCTCTGCTCTTTATATTCTGAGGCAGCTCAAGCTCAGAACATTGAGGATGGGCAGGGGAGGGGAAAGAGAAGAGAGCCCCTCTCCTGGACTGGATTAAAGGCCTGGGCTATGGGCCGTAGGTTTGACACCCTGGGTTTAAGGCTTTTTATCCATATTTAATCTCCTTAATTTAACGTCTTTGTTGAATGTCTCTTCCTCTCCCTTACTAATAATGTTGCTAGCAATAACTTATGTATTTTCATGGTTATTTCAGGTAGCAATGAGAAAAACAAGTCAAGAAATTACAGATCTTGAAAACATAGAAGAACAACAATCAGGCATCATATCTGCCTTGGTAAGAATCGTTGTTGCACTTTTCTAAATGGAATGGGGGGAAGTAATTTTTATAATGGCAGTTAATAAGAATTCTGTGGGTATTAATTTTTTTTAACTCACCAGAAGAATTTTAATTTTAAACATTGTTTAGTTAATTAAAAGTAATTCTGAAGCTTTACTAAGTTGAAATTTAGAAAATATTAAATTGTTTTGAATTGAAAATATTTGCATAAATAGTTAGATGCACTTGCAGTTATAATGAAGTTGGCCCAGTATGGTGATTCCTTTGCCTGGTTTAATAAAAAAAAAATGATAAATTGTTTCAATGGTGGGCTAGTGAATAAATTCTTTTGCGGTTTGTGGGGAATGCAGCAGTAAGTTTAGCATTTTCCAGGTATTCTGGCAGCATGCTTCCAACACAATTTAGTTGAACTTGGGGTTGACTTGGATCCATCCAAGGCTAATTTTATGACCAAAAATTTACAATAGGTTTAAAAGAATAACCTGTTTGCCCTTGAAATTCTAAAATTTTAACAGGAAACTGAAGTTGAAGAGGTCAAGAAGAAGACGGAAACTGTTAAGGAGGATATTCTTCAGCGGAAGAAGAAAATGGAGGAAGGGAAACATAGTCTACATGAAGCAGAAGATAAATTAGCAGCAATTAAAGACAAAATTCATCAAGTAGAAGAAGAAGCAGGCCCAGTCAAGGTTCACAATTTTATTAAAATAAACTAATTACAGATATATCAAAAAAAATACAAAAAGTTCACAAGATACATTGCCAATCTAAACCCCCTTTTGTCCTGCCACCGTGGACATAGAAAACCCTTCACCAGTGACTGACCCTTCCAGTCTGGCTTCCTCTCTGGCCGTGGGGAGGAGACTGCGTTGGTCATCCGTGAGGCATCTGGATCAAAGTGGGTCAGCACTGCTATTACTTTTAGATCTGACAGCAGCATTTGACATGGTTGACTATGGTCTAATGACCAACTGCCTTGCTGACATTGGGATGCAGGGGACTGCTTTACAGTGGCTTTCCTCCTTCTCCGTCAGAGACAGAGGGTGGGGAGAGGATGTCCCTGCGATATTCGCTTGAATGTGTGGTACCGCAGGGTGGTGATCCTCTCTCAAATGTTATTTAACGTGTATATGCACCCCCTCGCCCAGTTGATCTGGTGGTTTGGGTTGGGCTATCATTAATATGCTGATGACACCCAGCTCTATCTACTGATGGATGGCCAGCAGGACTCCGCACCAGATATTTTGGACCAGGTGTTAGGGGCTGTGGCTGGATAGTTGCAGCAGAGTCAGACGAAGTTGAATCCAATGAAGATGGAGGTCCTGTACCTGAGTCGTGGGGGGTTGGGATTGGGAATCAGGCTCTTGGTCTTCAGTGGGGCGCCATTGGTGCCAGCGCTGTGGGTAAGGAGTCTCAGGGTGATGCTGGATTTTTCACTTACTATGGAGGTCCAGGTCACTTCAGTTGCCAGATCAGCCTTTTATCACATTCAGCTGATCAGGTAACTGGTTCCCTATCTTGCCCCCTGAGACTTAGCTACAGTGATCCATGCAATGATCACTTCCAGGCTAAATTACTGTAACTTGCTCTACTCAGGGCTACCCTTGAGCCTGATCTAGAAATTGCTGCTACTGCAGAATGCAGCAGCATGACTGCTGATGGCAATGCCTGTGTGGGCGCACATTCAGCTGGTGTTGCGCCAACTGCACTGGCTGTCAATTGAATACTGGATCTGGTTCAAGTTTATGGTTTTGACCCTCGCAGCCGTATGTGGCATGGGACCAGAGGTCATTTCGGGGGGGATCGTGGGGGAACACAGTTCCCCCGGGTGAGGGGCGGGGGGCGGGGCACACGATGAAGCCCTGCCCCTGCTTCCAGCCGCCCCGCTTCTGGCCCTCATTCAGCCAGGAGGAGGCAGGAGAAGAGGGAGGGTAAGTTGCTTCCTCCGCGCCTCTCCCCACCCCTGCCTGCCTGGGGCCAGGGAGGGCCTTGGCAGGGCTTTCTCGCACTCCCGCTGGCCTTGCAGGTCCACCACCGGGCCCCTGATGTCAGGGGGTGTGGCATATGCTAATGAGTTATGCTAATGAGCTCCCCTAGCTCTTTTTCTACGAAACGACCCCTGCATGGGACCATCATACTTGCTTGACTGCCTCTCCCCATATGAGCCCCGGAGAGCTCTACACTATTCTGATCAACATCTCCTGGTGGTCCCCGGCCCGAGGGCCATCTGCTTAGGTTCAACCAGGGCTTTTTTGGCCCTTGCCCTGGCCTGGTAGAACATGCTCCCATTTGAGATCACAGTTCCACAGGGCTTGTAAAATGGAGCTGTTCCTCAAGGCGAGTGTTCAGCCAATTTGGCCCCACTGTCCGTGGCCCTGCCCATGACCCCTTTCCCAGTGCCCTTGCTGTTCTGGATATTACGTGGGCACTGGAATTTCTTGGGGTAATTATTTCTGCTCGATATGAGGCATGGGTTTTGGTCTTACCTGCTGTTGCTGTTTATTGTTTTATTGTTTTTGTTGTTTGTTGGTTTTATGTTGTGAGCCACCCTCAGCCCATTCCTGGGGTAGGCTAGGGTATAAATAAATAAATACTGTTTTCAGTTACACAATTGCTGGTTCCATTCTTTGTATTGCTCTTGACCATAAAGGGTCTACTCTATCTGAATCTCTGTTTTTCTGATAAGCTGTTAATTTCACTAGAGTATAGATCTCCTTTATTTTTGACAACCAGTCTTATAGTTCAGGGATATTTTTTTTCTTTCCATTGCTGGGCAAAAACCACCCTTTCAGCACTAATCATGTAAGGTAACCATTTGCTTGTCTCTAGGGATACCTGATTTGCATTTTTTGTGATATGAACCTTGCAACAGAGTTTAATGAAACTGATATGATCTGGATTATTTTGCTCTCTCTGAAACAAATATAATAATGTTATTTTTCTAGTACTGTTTGTTTAATTTCTTAGTAAATATAAGAATGTGATCTGTATGTCCATTGTTTCCCTTTTTTATTTCATTTATAAGATAAATTAATAGGTTGAATGGAGTGGTAATGACTTAATGTCACTATTGTAACCAATTGACACACATATTAATTTGTGGTTAACAGGATGGACTCAGTCAAGCAGATGACGCATTGGAAAACAGTAAAAATCACTTGCGGCACTATGAAGGAAAAAAGAAAGAGCATTTGGAATCCATGAAAAAACTTAAAAATCATCTAGCTGCAAAAGAGAGAGAATTAATGGTATTTGATATGATTATAAGTTCTGTCTTTGATTTTGGGATACCCACTAAGTCCCAAGAATGCATTTGGAAGCATTCTCTTGTACTTACTTCCATTTACTCATCTCTTTACATTTCTATAAACCAAATGGCGATTTTAAAATATGACTTGAATTAGCACATTGAATATTGTAATATTCTTCGTCGTCTCTGTGCAGTCCCACACATGGGTTGGGCACCTGCGCACAATCTCACCGGAGGAACTTCTATCTAGAGCTTGCCTCAGAATCTTTTTGGTGGGCTCTCTTCCCACTCTGGAAGTGGATGCCTGGAGCTGGGAAGAGAGCTTCCTCCCACTCAGTTCTTCTTCGACCACCCTTGTGTTCACACCTCTCTTCATTGTCTCCTTGCTTCGCCTCAACTAAGTCCCTTACTTCGTCTTTAACTTTCTCTACCTTTTTTGTCTTCAGATTCCTCTTTCTTAATCTTTATACTAAAGAAACCCTTTAGTGCTTTTTCTTCGATTTCTCTCTTTTTCCCCACCCCTTCCTCTCCCCCCCTTGGTTGAGAAGGTGTGCGCATGAGCTGCACTCTCTTCTTTAAGGAGTGTCGTCACTGTCCTGCAAAGCTCCCCTCTAATGATGGGCACGATTTCTGTCTAATTTGTCTTGGAGAACAGCACCAGGTTGACACCTGCCCTCATTGTGCTAAGTTTACTAAACAGGCCCAATGCAATCGAGTGGCGTGCTTCAAAGCAGTGTTTTTAGAAGTGGCACTTCGTCTGGGAATGGCTTTGGCAGCCTCTCATTCCTCTTCAGTGCCTGCTCAGAAGCCCTCTGATGTGGCGGTTCCATCTAAGCCGCCAAAGATACTGAATAAGTCGAAGAATATGGAGACCACGGAAGCTTCGACCTTGAAATTTTTAAAAAACGAATTTGGCTATGGCTCCTGCACTTAAACCCATTATAATTTCAGATCTCTCAACATCGACCCCAGTCGCTTGCCCGGCATCTACTGTGGTCCCAAAGTCTGACAATAACCTGCCTGTGTTGACGCCAGTTCTCTTCTCAGACTGACTGCCTCACACCAGGTCAATGGCCCTAGCCATGGCTCTCTCTGCCTTCCCACCATGCTTCAACTTTGGTCCAAGAGCGCTGTTCTGTCTCCAGAGATTCCCGTCCTAACCAGTATTCTTTGTGTCTCTTGCAGCTGCCAGCTCCCTCCAACTGGTTCAGCTCTTGTAATCACCCATGTGTGGGACTGCGCAGAGATCACGACGAAGATAAACAGGTTGCTTACCTGTAACTGATGATCTTCAAGTGGTCATCTGTGCAGTACCACAATCCCACCCAGCCTTCCCCACTGCTGGCATCTCCTATTCACCTTTCTTTGGCTTGATGGGACTTACCGGTAGTGATCGAAGGAACTGAGTGGGAGGCGGATCTCTTCCCCGCTCCAGGCATGCGCAGTACGTGCCTGCTCCCCAGGGCAGGAAGAGAGCCTGCCAAAAGCTTTCTGAGGCAAAGCTCTAGAAGTTTCTCTGGTCAAGGTCGTGCGCAGGCACCCAACCCATGTGTGGTACTGCACAGGTGACCACTCGAAGATAATCAGTTACAGTTAAGCCACCTGTTTGTTCCGATTCTGTTCACTCCAGTTCGGGTGGCGTGGAAGTCGATGTAACCCCTCAAGATGATTATCTCATGCGTACAGAGTCCCTCCATCCTACTGAGGGTCCAAGGGCTTACTTAGAACTCATCACCAGGTTGACTACTGCTGTCCAGGTGCAGGGTGCTACAGATACGCCCACAGTTACTGATGTGGTCCATAAGTTGGTGCAAGCCAAGCTGCCTCCATTTACCATACTTCCCTTTCTTCCTGTACATTTCTCAGTTTTAAAGGAGTCCTGGGATCGCCGTGCTTCTGTTCCTCCTGTGTCCAAATGCTACAATGGGCTGTATAAGGTTCAGGAATCTTTGGGTAAATTCTTATTCAATCATCCCCCACCAAATTCGATGATTGTTCACTCTTCTTCAAAATCGAAACACCCACGCCAGTTACTTCCTCCAGATTGGGAAGGGTGTAAGATTGACACCCTTGCTAAGAAAATCTACGCTGTCTCTTCTGTGAATGCACACATCAATACCTATCTCTCCTATCTGGCTGCCTATGCTTTCAATGTTGCCTCAGCTGTCCGACCCGTCTTGGAAGCGGTCCCAGAGGATGCTCAACCTGCTCTTTCTGCTGCACTTTCTGAGATCTGCGCAATTTTCAAATAAACTCAATACGCCACGCTGGGACATGCTCCTCCAAGAATTTAGTTTCTTCCATCGCTCTTCATCGCCATGCTTGGCTGCGGTCAACCTCCCTTCAACCTGATGTCAAGTCTAAAATTGAAGACTTGCCCTTTTATGGAGAGGGCCTCTTCCTTGCTTCCACCAATGACACCTTAAAAGTGGTTGTTGATAGCTGTTTAAGCATTTTACAACCCCCACCCCAAAATAGTTCTTACTATGTCTGTCAGGAATGAGACTGCATAAATAACATTAAGTAGGGCTTTCTATATTTGCTGTCTTCCCTTTCTCATTCAAAAATATTGCAAAGCATTCATGAAGATAATTTTGGCATATTTTAACATGCTGTTTAGGAAATGATTGCAAAGGCTTCCGAAATCCACCCAGAGAGACTAGAAGTAAACAGAACTGTTAAGAGTCTTGATACAGAAATGGATCACTTAAGAGAGGAGATAAATTCAGAAAGAGAGCGTACTGGAGATAGAGAAGAAATAATAAGGTAAATTTACTTGTTCCTTGTTTCCTTTGTGGGTATGTGTGGAAGGGTATTGCGTTTCTGTTTGGTTTTTGTTTGGGACCTTGAAAGTCTTATCAGTTCTGAATACTGCTACAGTTTTAGTGTATTTCAGTGTAGCTGAAATTTCATTGTCAACTATAATGGTTGGGATGAAAGATGCTTCCCTTTTTGGAGACGAAATTGGTGAAACATATTTCCCTCCCTTACTCCGTATGACATAAGAAAATCAGTCCTGGACTAAATCAGTGGTCCATCTAAGAACATAGGATCAGCTCAGTCGCCCATGCTGAATCAGCTCAGTGATCCATCTAGTCCCATGTACTGTCCCACCCAGTAGCCCATCAGTTCCCCTGGAAGACCAACAAACAGGGTTTGGAGGCCAAGGCATTCCCCTGATGCTACCTCCTAGCACTGACATTCAGAGGTCTGTTGCCTTTGACCAGTCACCATGGCTAAAACTCTATTCTCATGGCTATGTCCACTATCAGTGAATTCCAGTATTTTAACTACTCATTGAGTGAAGTCATATTTCCTTTTGTTTGTTCTGAACCTATGGCCCATCAGCTTCATTGGATAGCTTTGATTTCTATTTTTATGTGAGAGAGGGAGAAAAGTTTATTAAATTTTCCAGTTTATTGGAAGCTGTGACCCCTTAACCACAACTATTGCAACACCATCTTCAGTATGCCCTTCCCTCACCTTTATGTAGAGTTTAGATCCAAAGATAACCATTACTCTGTGCCATGGTTCAGATATGCCTCGTATGTCTGTGTTTTCTTTTAGTGCCAAGCATTCCAAGTTGTGGATCTCAGCATATCTGTCTGTCTCTAAATGACAGTTTGTGTGGTGTTTTTCTTTGATTGCTTGGTCTACGTGTTTATCATTTGTATGCCTGTTGTAAAATTCTACCCAATCACTACTACATGGACCTGGATCTGTAATATTTACACCAGAATTTGCAATGAGTTAGTTATCTTGAATTGGGTGTTCCCTAGTTCCTGTCGTTTTTCCTTCAGAAGTCAGACTTTTATGCAGTCTTTCTGCTATAAAATCAGTTGTGCTCGTCTCCTTTGTATTGTGTTGTCTCAGTGTGTTCCATAGTGTGTCTCAATGTGTTACATAGTGCCTGACAAATCTAAATGTTTTCCCCATATACCTCATTCAGAGAAACTGCAGTTTTGCCTGATGCTACTCTGCCAGTAGCATTTTTGATATGAAAAGGGGCTAGACTATAAATTTCATTGAAAGTGGAATTGTGGCTCAAGGCACATTCTTGTAGTACAGCCTATGTACAATTTTGTTCAGGTATACTATGGGTGATTTCATTTTGTTTTGTTGCTTCTGATACAGATCTTTTAGTTTATTAAGCGACAGAAGGTTATTAGCAGATTTTTGCCATAAATCATTCCTATGCCACAGAAAATTTTAACAGATGTAGCATTTTGTTTTGCAACCAAGTTTGTTAAACAAAAAAGTTTGTTAAAATGGGCTAGTTCTAAATTCTCAGACATTATCTTCCACTAAATCCCATTTTTCATCATCCCTTTTATTGCCAACCAGGCAATTTCAGGAGGCAAAAGAAAAATATCACAGCGCAGAGGGTGAAGTCAAGAACTTGAAGAAATTCATTAAACTATTGGCTGAAGTGATGGATCAGAGATACAACACATTTATACAATTTAGAAGGTGGGTGTGATTATCATCTTGTATTTTAATAGTCAGGTGTGCCCATTTCTATGGATATGTGGATCAGAGCCTTTTACACAGAAATAAGATTTTCCCACAAACTTGGGGGACCCCTCAGTCTTGGAGGAAAAAAAACTTTAAACAAAGGAGAAGAATTTAAATCCCTCCAGTACAAGAGCGTTGACTGAGCAAGAGCAGACAAAGTGCCGCTATGCCTGGCAGGCAAGGAAACTGCCACTGCCATTGAGAAGGCAAAGTAGGCAGCCGAGCAAGTGAGTCTCTACCTCCACTGCCATTGAGGTGCTCAGGCAAGAAAGCTAATGCTGTTGAAGCACCTGGGCGGCAGAGGCATCACCACTGGCAATGTTCCCCCTAAGCTGTGGAGTCTTGTGAGCAAAAATTCTACTTTGTGAGCCACTGGAATTAAAGTTGTGAGCGAGCGATTTGGCTGCTGCATCAATTAGTTTGCTCTGGAGCCATCCTCCCTGAGCTAAGACAAAAATGTGTGAGCCGGAGGCTAAAAAACTGTGAGCTAGCTCACACTAACTCAGCTTAGAGGGAACACTGACCACTGGGCATTTGGGGGAGCTGTTGCCACCACTTTTATGGAGGCAATGCGGCTGGGTGCTTGAGGGACCCACCACTGGTGAAGCAGCAAAGTGGCCTGAAGCACTGGGGGGAGCGAACGCAAATAACACCTGTCCATCACCTAGTGGCATTCATCCTCTGTGGTGTGTGAAGGGAGACTTTGGAGGAGGGGAAGTCACAGATAGGCAGTCAGAATGGGGCAGTTTCCCTGTCTTGAGTTTCCTTGGGGGAGTGGGGGTTGGCCCCCCAGCCACCCCTCAGATGCCAGGGCAGCAGGCTGGCAGGCAAGGAAGAGGATGGGGAGGAGGAGTTGGGAGCTTCTACCCTCATTGTGACCACCATAGCAGTGGCAGGGGAGCAGAGCAGGGAAGGGAAAGAGAAGCCAGACACCTTCGCCAACTGCCTCTGTGTAAACCACTCATCAGCCTGGCTCTCCCACCGACCCAGTTATTAACTTTTTGTTGTGTGAACTGGAAAAATCCAGTTGGAAAGTGCATTGAAAGTGGATTATTTAGTGTGTGTGATCACAGCCCAAGTTTGGTTTCTGTCAGTAAAAGGGGGAAGGGGGCAAGATTCTTCCTGGGGCTGTTTTGGCCTTTGAGGAAGGACCCATTGGGGCCATGCCCAGCGACAGCCACTGGGTGACTTGTGACCACCTGAGTTCCATGACTGAGGCCACTGTCAGATGTGCCATTTGGTGCAGAGGGGAAGGAAGCCTATTTCACCTGGAGGAAATTGACATGGCGTTGCACGAGCACCCATCCTTTGTAGCTGCGGGCTCAGCCCGTCACTGCATGATCAGATCGCATGTGCAGGTGAATGGGGGGGGTTGCCTTTTGTCTCCCATGCACATAAATGAGGAATCGCATCTCCGCATGGAGGGTTCCCCATGGAGTATACAGTTATGCACATACTGCTAAGCAAGGGGGGGGGAAGCACCGAGTCGGGATGGAATGAGCAGACCATCCCAACTGTTTGAGTGCGTGCTTGAGCGATCAGACGGGAAAGTCCATCCATGGCCCATCTGCAAGCATTTAGGACTGGACTTTCCCTGGTGTCCTTTAATTCCGCTTCCGTGGCAGGGCAGCACAGGGTGCCAGTGGCTGCAGGACCTTTCCCAGATATTGCTGTCTGATCGTGTCCTTTAGATCCACCAGGCATTCACAGCTGAGTCGGATCTAAAGGTACGTCTGACCTCGGCCTCCTGGCTGCTTGGCTGCTATTTAATGGCAATCACCCTGTGAAAGTCAGTGTGGTGTAGCAGTTAGAGGTTCACATTATGGTCTGGGAGACCCAAGTTCAAATTACCAGTCTGCCATGGTTGGCTGTCGTGTGGAAAGGGAAGACAGAAGCAGGAAAACAGTAGAGACCAACGGGCTTTCA